GGCAGGACACGCTGCAACCAAGCCGTAATTTCGCCTGTCAGGACCGCACCGGCAGTCGCGCCACCACCTTCGCGAGGTACAGGCAATGGAGGCTGACAGGATTCAAGTTCAAGATCTTGCCTCACCTGCATCCAGAGTTTCACCCAGTTGTGCCTGTAGATACCCTGGGCAGGTGCGACCCAAATCATCGGTTCGCCATCGAAAAACTTGGCATTCATAGTCTTAAATACCTCTGCACGGAACTCCAAATACACAGGCTCACGCTCCTCACTGTAGTCGATGCTGAAAGCACAAGTGTGTTGGAAGTCGCTCCAACGAGCACGCATGTACAGGCATGCGAGGCATGCCCCTGAGAACAGTTTGTCCCACACCGAAGCAGCAGACTCAAGAAGTGTATGCAACACCTCCAAGTCACAAACCCTCAATGGATGGGCCTTTGCCCTCCCTCGCTTAGCTCCACGCCGGGTGATGCCTAAAATCCGGCGACTCTTCACAATGGGGTCCAAGCTCGGCACATCAAAGACGAACCGTACAAAGATCAAAGCTTCCCTCAAAGCCGCAAGCTGCGAAGGCTTCGCCCCGCCCGCCTTGGCATCCCGCATGTAACAGTAGACTGAGTGTTCGCGGTAGGGCACCACTTCCTGCCCCCAGCCCACCTCCTTGTGATAAAGCAGGATGCTATTGACTCTCTTGATCAAAGTTGCCGGGGCTCGCGGATGCAACCAATCAAGAAGAGAATCCTTCCGCCCCTCATTATCCGATATGGAAGCCATGGCCTTGACGATTTCCAAATCAGGCCAACAATCATCCCACCTCGAAATAACAAGAAGCCACCGTGCCAAGGCCCTGTCGTGCTCCTTAGAACGTTGATCTTCCCACGACACGTCTGCCTTGCGGCGGACGACTTTGAAAGCTATGGCCCCAGCCTTCCAGTCGGAGCACTCCGTACGTCTCTTCTTGACCTCCGGAGCACCATCACCCTCAGATTGAAAGTCATGCGGGACCTCAGGGCATACAAACTGTGCTTCACGAAGCACATCGTCACGCCCTCCGAAAATCTCGCCCCAGACACCAACTTCCCACGGCAATCGAACATCTTCAACAGCAGTGGTCCTCGAAGTTTGAAAAGCATGCGACAGCAAGCCACTGAACGATGCCCCGGAAGCAAACCCACTGGAAGAACTGGCCATCGTGCAGAAAAAGTGCGCACGAAGATGTATCTAATCCAATGAGTTGAGGTCCAGGACGGGCGGTGCGGCCCGATCAGTGTCCTCTGGCAACCCCTCAACCTGGGTGACCCGGCGGGCCAACGCGCAGTGCTGGGCCCAGAAGTCGTGGAGCTTGGCTGATAAATAATCGATGCGCCGATGAATCTGAGCAAGGGCCTCAAGAGTCTCGTCTTCAAAAGCTTCAAGTCG